TTAACTTGCTCATTTCTGCAGGGACCACAGCAAAACAAAGCACTGTTACGACACTAAGCATAACTTTCGGCACACATTCGTCAATGTCTCCGCGTTTTACGCTGTACCGGGACCCTGCTGTGGGGCATTAATCATACCATTATATATTGGGAATTCGCCATGTTGTTTCTGAGGTTTGTTGTGTGTGCGCGCCTTAAGTACACTGCAGGTGGTTGCCGGTTAGTGTTTGCTTTTGAACGTCTCGACTTTGTTTCACTTTAATGAAGCTTCTAAGTACTGTACAAAAGCAAACGTGAGCGAGCTGTATTAAAGGTGCATGTTACAAAAGTCCCTGGTTCGTTCCCGGGTCGCGGCACCAGAATGAAGTGTGAAAAACGAAGGAGGAGATCCGGACCTGAGCGTCTGGATACATCGAAGGTCAACAGAACTACTGAGCGAGCCAGCGTCCATGGCTCTTCCTCGTGCCCGCCGCCCCTTCTTCCTCCTTCATTTGTAACAGCGCATTCACTAAGTGCGCGCATGCTTTAGCGAAACCTGTCACGAATTTTCCCATTTCGTGATTGATGTAACGTGCCCAATACGAGGAGAAACAAAGTTGGTTGTCAGAAATAAGCACTCTGTTAGCACCAACTTTGATTAACTGTTATTCTTTCGCTAATGCATTAAATGGCGAGTAAATGCAAAGTTGCTTGAAGATAGGTTAGTGATTTTCTGAAAATTAAAAAAACGCATTTGTTCACGAGGCAAAAGTTAGAAACTTTTGCAGTTAAAACAGTAAATGCTAACGGAAGTCTACGGTGAAGTCAAAAACAAGACACAAGCGTGAGTTTTCACTAAGACGAATGCCATACTAAGTAAAAATAATGATAATAATAACGTCGTAGTACGCTACGCAAGTATTACAAACGGCATCACAAAGCAGTTCATATAGGTTTTTTTTTTCTTACTGATTCACATGTACTCGCGTGAAAGTGGCAAAAGCGTCAAGAGATTGTCTCTTCATGCGACGCTAAATAAATTTGTTTTCTCTCTTTTTCCGTCCATTTCTTTCTTCGTTATCTCCTCCTCTTCCCTCCGAAATTTCGTGCTTCTTCAATGGGCCCCCAGTGTGCAACGTCGACGGCGTGCTCTACCAGAGCGGTGACCCCATCCCAACGGAGGACCCGTGCGAAACATGCAAGTGCCGTCCACCTGGCTTCGCCTGTATACTGCGAGAGTGCGAGGTGAAGCCCAACTGCAAGGCTGTCCGTCGGGAGGGTCAGTGTTGCCCGGAGTACCACTGCGGTGAGTCATCTGGCGTTCTTTTTTTTTTCATTTTCTTCCGTTTCATCAGCATGAGGTCACCACACGTACATGCGCGCCGTTTCTCTGAAGCGAGGTCAATAAAAGGTGGTTCCGCGAAAAATATTGCGCACTTATACCCCTCCTACAGACATTGTTTTATTCGGGGATATAACGCCAGCGGTGTCTAATTATTTATTTATTTTTATTTATTTATTTCTGTCTCTCTGTCTGTATGTCCCTAATATCTAAACTCCTCGCAAAGTCGCTTTACTCCCATTGCTTTTAGTTACCATGCTGCCCTGTCCCATAGACGAAAAATTGTGCAGCTTCAAATAAACTACACATGCCTAGCAACGCCTGTTCTTCGCGCAAAGCAGGCGTTCAATACAATTTGCTCGTTTGCTTTCGTACAGTGCTTTCGGTACTCTCCACTTTTCGTAAGCTGTGAACTGACATGGGTTTAATGGATTCGAAGAACACGACCACCGCACGCACGATAATATTGTGGATGCGCTAGCTGTCAACAAACGTGCGCAGCTACAGCTCCTTCTTTTTTTTTTTTTTGAGGTCCTAGTTTGCAGAGCGTACCGTTTTGTACGGGTATTCGCGCCGAGTTCTCCGAAGTGACAGGTTTACGCTGGCGCTGCGAAAAGTGCGTCAAGAAAGTGTCTTGCGGAACGTTTCGGCGTACGTCAGCAATAAAGAATAGTTCCTCAAAAATAAACCGCTTAAAACATTCAACTCCATTGACAAGTCACGGTACGAACTGTCAAACAGCTAGAGGGATCCCCTCTATATGTAAAACGCATCGTGCGTATTCTTTAACGTGCTTGATATAAAAGAATATTAAGAAAACTGGCACTCTGGCATCAACTGCTAGCTAACTTCTAGCCACTTTCCTGGCGATATTTTCGAATGTTTGGCTCACGAGCATATGACTTCGTTGGGGCTGGTCTGCTTGTTCTTCTTTGTATTTGCATACATTCATGTCCTTTTATATGTCGTGTGGCACCCTCAGAGTTCGAATCGCCATGATGTTCGTCATTGGCCCTCAATGTGCGAGCGTAACGTTCATTTGAAGTCCTACAAAATTTTTTTCCAATCCTATCCTCCAGTGGCAGGCTGACTCCTACAACGTGGTATGCAAAAGTTTTGGCATACTTTAAAGTAGCCCTCGTTAAAAAACCTCACAATCACTTTAAATCACTCGGGGACCATTCACAAGCTGTCGCATGTCTTATGAGAGAATATTTATTTATTTATTTATTTATTTATTTATTTATTTATTTATTTATTTATTTATTTATTTATTTGACGGTATGGCTCAGGCTGCCAGCAAGGCGGAACGTTCTACAAGGATGGCGAAGTGGTTCCCAGCCCTCAGAGCCCGTGCTACGTGTGCTACTGCCAGGGCAGCTCCATCAGCTGTTCCCTGGTTGCCTGCCGATTCCGAGGTGACTGTGAGCCGCGATACGTGGACGGCGAGTGCTGCCCGCGTTACGACCACTGCCCGCCAACAGGTATTTCCACTCGAGTAGTATCGCATACTTGCGAGTCGGCCCGACAGGTACCCCTGCGTAGATTAAACCATGTGCTCAGAGCTTTGTGTACCCAAATACTATAAAGTTTCATAATATAACGTAAAGTTTCATGTATTATCGTTGGCAATTTGAGCTGGAACACAGAAATCACCTATAAGCAGTTATGGTGTTCTGTTGTGATTTATCTATAATCGACGATTACTTGTAAAGTACTCATATACATGGGACGTATGTAATCGCCCGAGGTACGTTTCCGCTTGAGCATTTATTGACACTTTACGATTTTGCGATTCCCATTTGCGTTTAGCCACTGCGACCATTACAAAATTATCTCAGTCTTCCGTATCACGCGGCTCACGACAGCAGTGGATGTTATCAGACTGCTATCTTTCGTTTCGTGTACAACGCCACTCGGGCTCTCTTGGGTTGCGAAATGAAACGTTCGATAACTAAGCCTAGCTTCTCTTGCACGAAGAATCGCTGCTTTAGGCACCCAGTTGCAGCGTCGATATACCATTTCGCGAAGAAAAATAATTGGTGCTCGTAGAGAAACAATTTTGCCCGCACAGAACCTCTCATAGACACTTCTTATTATCATATTCGGCGTGATAACGGCAGTATTGTGTCTGCTGTTTTCGTTGCGCACTTCTGTAGTTGGCCTTCAACGCAGGAACGTGTTTGGTTTTCTCTTTCAAGAATTAGGTTTCCGTGTTCAGCGTCCAACGATTCTTCCAATATAAGGTGCACGATGTCAACACCGAAACGAAAGTAAAAACAGAAGAAGTACTGCCACATTCCCTTCAAAGTACTCAATTCGCAAAAGAATAGTATTTAATACTTTGCTGACAGGTCAAATGAAAAGGTCACGTACTTTTGTCGCGTTATAGCAGTGCATAGGAACAGCAAGCTTTTCTGTGTATTTTTTTTCTCCTGCTGCGCCATTGAACGAAACCAAAAGAAAATTGGCGAAGCAAAGGTGAATGCGAAAAATGTTGACGCAATTTCTTCATATTGATATGTTTTCAGATATGTTAAGCATTATTTACAGTTAAGTGATGCACCTAACCTATCATATTGTCTGCTGGAATTACCCTCATTAGCTAACACTATCCTACATTAAACAGTGCTAACCACTGTGTGCAGTGCGCGAATAATTTCAATATGTTAGGCACTGCTAGTATGATAGAATGTAACGATTTGATTGATATGTGGGGTGTAACGTCCCAAAACCACCATATGATTATGAGAGATGCCGTAATGGAGGGATCCGGAAATTTTGACCACCTGGGGTTCTTTAACGTGCACCCAAATCTGAGCACAAGGACCTGCAGAATTTTCGCCTCCATTGAAAATGCAGCCACCGCAGCTGGAATTTGATACCGCGACCTGCGGGTCAGCATCCGAGTACCTTATCCACTAGACCACCATGGTGGGGCGCTAGAAAATAACGGAGTCAAAAAAAAAAGGAAAACGAAACGTTTCACAGTTATGCTTTGTCTCCAGGATCTTTTCACTTATTGTAACGCTTCGCGGGAGGCCTTAGCGATAGATTGACGGACTAAGATAATTCCTTGAAAGCTGACTCATCAAAACTACATAAAATGAAAATAAGCGATTTATTTTTGACAGAGCTTACATCAGTGTAATCCACATTCAACATCGTCATGCAGAGTTTTTGAACTCTGAGTTCCATCATGTTGCATTAGAACATCGTTTGTTATCTTATAAAAGGGTGCACTCTTAAACTGCCGCCCACACATTTAATAGCTAAGGCAGCTTAAGGTACACTCTAAGAAAAAAAGACTCCCTTGATTTTGTTTTGTAAGTCTTGACTGCCACGTATAGGATTATCCTGAAAAAGAGCCTCTTCAAAAATTATTTCGTCGGAGAGTCGTCGGGTCAGCTTCCAGCGGAACGAGTAACACATACATTTTTTGCTCACTTTTACTCTTTGCTTCAAATATGTGTGTAATTGTCAGAAACACTTATAAGGCCTGTTATTTTGTTAATATATTCGCAGAGGAACCCATCGACCACAACAACCGTTCAGCTTCCATGGTCACCCTTCACGAGCCCTCGTTCGACTGGGCCGGTTTTTCACCACGCGGTTCGAGCCGACGACAATTCCCGGTGCTGAACAGTCCACCTACGCACCCGGTGTAGGCACGAGTCATGGCGTACCAGTAACGCGCTTCGAACCAACAACCGTTCCTGGAGGCTCCAGCCCGTCTCATCGTGCTCAAGGCTCAGTTACAAAGGGCGGTGTGCTGTTTACACGGACCGCCTTCCCGACGTCCACCGAGCCAACGAGAACCACTGAGCGCTTCCGGCCTGAGCAGACAGCTTTCCCCAGTTCCTTGTACGACGACCTATCTTCCCCTCAACCCGTTCCTGACGTCACTAATCCCGTGAAGAGGTACACGTCACACCTGCCACCACCGGAAGAAACAGGAGCCACCGCCGCTGCTACAGGCGGAGCCCAAAGCACCGACTCCGTCAAGCCACTGGACTCTGCTGTGCAGAGTCAGGATGTTGATGACAAGTTCAAGTCGACTGTTGGCAAGGATGCCACCGGAACCACTGCTGCAGTCGGTAGTTTCCCCGCAACTATTGTACATGGTGCAGCAGTTCCTGTCGTCCCGGCCGTGCTACCAGAAGCTGGTCCAGTCGTAATCGCCAATGTTCCTGTTCATCCAGTGATCTCAACTGCGGAGCTCGGAACTGTTCAGCCCACCGCCACTGGAACGGTTCTGAATGCTGATGCAGGCATCGGGGTGACGTCATCCACCGGTATACAAGGAGGAGCAGCGACTGCGGAAGGAACTGCTTCTCCCTCTACCAGTACTGTCGTGGCTGGAACAGATCATTCTACAACCATCCCCGCTGTCGAAACCAATCATGGCGCAGCAGTCGACAGCACTGCGACTACAGCAGCCTCAGTGGCAGACGCTACGCACGCCTTGGCTGGTAGCGACGCCACAACCCATGACGACGCGTCCTCTCCGACGGTCACTGCTAGTTCCGAGCTGCATAACGGTGCTTCGAGCACAGGCGCACAGACGGATGTCTCCACATCCACTTCTGGCGTGAATGTTGACAATGAAATGCACGCGATGACGACGGTGAGCGGTGATGCTGAGGTAACCGAGCAGGCTGCATCAGAAGGCGCTACATATTCGCAGACACTTACACCAGACCCTGCTTCCGTTTCAAAGGAAGCTACTAGCACTTCGGGCCCAACATATGCCACCAGCACCGCAACAGAAAACGTCTCAGGTGCGACTTCCAGTCACACAGCACAACCGGGCGCCAACGGATCCTCTGAACATTCCTCTGAAACAGATGCCAGTAGCGTGCCTGTGCGCCAGAGTGACTCTACTGCGGACACCGGAAAAAAAGTCAGTGATTGCGCTTATGCCGGTATGCACGCCGATGCTCCTGGCCCTGCATCGGCTGCCACTGACTCCTCTGCAACAATCCCCGTCGATTCTAAGCAAGGTCCGACTACTGGCGACGCAGGCTCTGCAGCTACTTCCGCTGAAGTTGCCCCCGCAAAGGCTTCTGTTGATTCAGCACCAGTGACGGGCTTCGGTGATGCTTTCCCAGCAGCGTCTAATGGTGACGCTACATCAGCCACGGCTCCAGGTGGTGATGCCACAGCCACAACTTCGGCCGCCGCCACCCTTGCACCTGCTTCCAGCGATGATACTCCGGCATCGCCGTCCGTAACAGCAACACCATCCGGTGAAGCTGCACCAGGCATGGCTTCTTCCGATGCTGCTCCTGCTGTGGCATCCGGAGAGGTCGCCCCTGTCGCACCTTCTGGTGATTCTTCCCCTGTGGCGGCTTCTGGTGACGCTGCCACCCAAATGCCAGCCGGTGATGCTACACCAGTAACGGCTTTCGCTGATGCTGCCCCCCCTGCAGTGTCTTCCGGTGACGCTGCTTCAGCAACGGCTCTAGGTGATACTGCCACTTCCACCACTACTGATGACGCCACCCCTGTACCACCTTCCAGTGACGCTACCCCCGCCCCGCCATCCGGTGATGCTGCCGCAACCACTACCAATGATGAAACTCACACACCTGCTTCGAGAGATGCTGTCAGTGCACCCGCTTCCAGCGAATCTGCCCTCGCCAGTGGTTCTAGTGACTCCACTCCTGCAACTGCAACAGGGAACTCAGCTTTTGCAACTGATCTTGGTGAGGCTAGCTCAGTAGCTACAACCGGTGACTCGGCGTCTTCCACCACCGCCGAGAATTCGGTCTCGGCAGCAGCTTCTGGTGACTCTGCTCTCGGAAGCGACCTTACTAGTACACCTCATGTTACTACAGGAAGCATGTCTGCTGTTGGGCACGATGAGTCACTGCCCCAAACCACGGGGCCCAGCAGTGCAGACAATGCTGGCGAAACCACACCGGTGTCATTCACCAGTTCTGACCCCACCAGCGAAGCCACACCAGCTTCTGTAGATGCCCCAGCTTCCTCGGATGCGCCAGCTTCCACGGATGCGCCAGCTTCCACGGATGCGCCAGCTTCTGCCGATGCCCCAGCTTCTGCCGATGCCCCAGCTTCTGCCGATGCCCCAGCTTCTGCCGATGCCCCAGCTTCTGCTGATGCCCCAGCTGCTGCCGATGCCCCAGCTGCTGCCGATGCCCCAGCTTCTACAGATGCCCCAGCTTCTGTCGATGCCCCAGCTTCTGCCAATGGCCCAGCTTCTGCCGATGCCCCAGCTGCTGCCGATGGCCCAGCTTCTGCCGATGCCCCAGCTTCTGCTGATGCCCCAGCTGCTGCCGATGCCCCAGCTGCTGCCGATGCCCCAGCTTCTGCCAATGGCCCAGCTTCTGCCGATGCCCCAGCTGCTGCCGATGGCTCAGCTGCTGCCGATGGCCCAGCTGCTGCCGATTCCCCAGCTGCTGCCGATGCCCCAGCTTCTATGGATGCCCCAGCTGCTGCCGATGCCCCAGCTGCTGCCGATGCCCCAGCCTCTACGGATGCGCCAGCTGCTGCCGATGCCCCAGCTTCTACGGATGCCCCAGCTGCTGCCGATGCCTCAGCTGCTGCCGATTCCCCAGCTGCTGCCGATGCCCCAGCTGCTGCCGATGCCCCAGCTTCTGCCGATGCCCCAGCTTCTGCCGATGCCCCAGCTTCTGCTGATGCCCCAGCGTCTGTAAATGTCCCAGCTTCTGTCGATGCCCCAGCTGCTGCCGATGCCCCAGCCTCTATGGGTGCCCCAGCTTCTGCCGATGCCCCAGCTTCTGCCGATGCCCCAGCTTCTGTCGGTGCTCCAGCTTCTACGGATGCCCCAGCTTCTGTGGATGCTCCAGCTTCTGCGGATGTTCCAGCTTCTGCTGATGCCCAAGCTTCTACTGATACCAGCCCCACTAGTATTGCTGGCGCTGATTCTACAAATGAAGGTGCTATAAATGATGCAACTGCTAGTTCAGACACGCAAAGTAGTTCAGCAGCGTCTGGAAGCGAAGGTTCCGTTCAATACGGAGAAAGTTCTGGGTCCAGTGACATCACACCAGCTCAGCCAGCATCATCAGAGTTTACGACACCCGCCGCAGCCCCTTCACCATCTCTTACCGAAGAGAAGTCCACCGAACAGGAAAGCAGTAGTGAATCAAGTGCTATGCAAGCAGCAGAGCAAGGAGCCGACCAAACAACTACAACGGCAGCATCAGTGGCGCCAGAAGCTGTTTCGACAACTGTGGAGGGTGCGGCTATGGCACCATTCCCTACCGATGCTGTGCCTTTCGGAGACAGCCAATCAAGCACGCCAGCCCCGGCTGCCGAAGAACATCCTCTTGGTGACGAGCCTCACCACGACGAAGGAGTGGCCGGTAATACTGAAGCTCCTAAGCAGGAAGAAAAGCCAGTCACTGATGCTCCAGCCTATTCACCTGCGGATGAGCACCCACTGGGTGACGCCCCAGTAGTCCCTGATGCCAAGACTGAAGAAAATGAAGCTGTACCACCCATGGACAGCAATGAATCTGGCGCGCCACAGCAGGATGAAAAATCTAACGATGTTTCAGACAGTGCTAGCCCCACTGGTTCAATCACCCCAGCAGATCAAGAAACTGCAACCGATGCTTTTGGAGCTAGAAGTGGAACCGACAGCACTTCACCTGCGGCGCCAAAGAGTGAGGACACTACTGTTTCTGAAAACGTGGAACGCGAAGAACATCCTGAAGGAGAGCCCGATGCTACAAATTCACAGCCAGCGGAAACAGCCACGACTACGACTGAATCACCACATTCTGTTGCGGATGATGACTCCAGCAGGACTCCAGTCAGTGAAACGCCAATTGTGCCGGAGGAGGCGCATACAGTATCGCCAGACAACGAGGCAGAGAAGCCCGAAGCGTCCACCGAGCCTCCGCAGAATGATGCACCTCCACCAGATAGCGCAGCTGCAGGTGACAGTGGTGCGCCACACGACGACGGCGTGGCTTCGGGAACCCCTATACCACGAGCCGAAGGAAGTAGTGATTTGCCACCTATTGGGGCTGCTCCTGCGGCACCAGAACCAGAGCCACAACCTGCACCAGTGCCGAAGCCAAGCAATGGCAATGGAGGCCGCCATGGTCACGGGCACGAGCACAAACCACACGTACACCACGATTACGGAGGAAGAGTTCCTCCTTCGATTGAGCAACTGCTCGCACAGCTGAGCCCGGACACAAGACGGCAGTATGAGCTGGACCATGGCATTGTTTCCCCACAGTCCGGCTCTGGCAGTGACTCCCAGGGCTCGAAACCTAATGAGGTGACGGATGCCCCGAAGGCAACAGAATTTCCTACTCGTTACACAACGACGCCGACTTCTGCGGGTGACAATGGCCCTTCGAGTGGCAGCTCAGATGGCTACAAGGGCGATGAACCGTATGAAGACGACAAGACTAAATCGGGAGATGCTACTGCAGTCATGACGCACGACCCAATCGTCCAGCTAGTGAAGACTGGCATCCCCGACCTGCATCTTGAAGGTGCAGAGCCCCACAGGGACAGAAGGCGTTCTCAACGGCGTGCTCACTGAGACGACTGGCAGTTGTATGGCATGGCCAAGTTTGTCGATAATCTAGGTTGTGAAGCTCCCGACAATGTAAAGTATAAGTGCACGACAATGGACACTGCTGCCACGTAGTCGAACAAATGGGTTGATAACGTGACGACGGTGGGTTGGTGAAATTTCCAGTGCGACATTTACTATGATGAATGTAATTGAGCTTCACCCTTAGCAATAATGGAACAACGCTGTGATCACTTATTCTAAAACATAATATTGAAAATGTCATATAGGGAAATGCAAGAATCATTTTCTAGCTTTAAACGAGATATGGCATTACTTCAAGCATTGAGAGAACTTTTGTATTTCCCCATTAGAATACCTTCTGTAGACGAGGGCCCTCGTTGGGTTCAAGGAGGTTTTGGGTTACAGGGCTTCCCAACCTAGAGCACCGGTCAACTTGGGACGATGCCTCACACATACGGGGGACTGTGATGCGCACATCGGCGCCCTGAGTGTCGTCCATCCATTGTACATACTCGCTGGGGTGTGGGTCACAAGCCGGGGGAACAAGTCGAGGCGCCACATGTGCGTCTTGGCGTGGTGGCAGCTACAAATTCTGCATCGCAGAAAGATGACACGCCAACAGGGACGAAGAAAAAGACATGATTGAGTGAAAAGCCAGTTAATGTCTCATAACCTTACACATAAGGAGGACATAAATTTTGTGAGGCAATCGAATAATCTTATGCGAGCAAGCACTTGACAATGACCTAGCACTTGAGGTCCCAACACTGGACTCTATTAATTTAACAAGCACTGCGAGTGGGTGCAGCTCGAACGCGAAACGTGCGTTCCTTGCGGCATTAGACCGACCGCAGGTGGCATTCTGAGGTCAATAGTCAGAAATCACGAAATTAGTTACCTGCAAGCTTAGCAATCTGGCAATGAAAGTTAGACTAAGCTTCTCGGTATAACACCACACAGCTAGAATTGGCCAGCTATTTCTGCGGCGATATTGCTTATAGTCGGTTACTACTTAAGAATAAATGTAAGCTCCACCCACAATCACCTCTGTTCCAGCCACGCAAAATTGGCATGTATAATTCATCCAATCGCATTTACTCATTTCTGTGACGTTAAAGAATTCTTGATGTGCTTCATGCGTTTTTTTTTCTTATACAGACACATGTTCATGTGGATGATTTTTGAGCTGGAAAACTTCTAGCAAACTTCAGCAACTATTGCACATAATTGTTAGAGGAAACACTACATTTTTGGTACGAATGACGAACTGCTAGATGTAATTGTGCATACACTATAGTACTTACATTAGCACCGGAAAGGTACATATGGACAAAATAGAAACCACCTAGCACGCGACCCTCCAATTGATGAAAGGCACGTGGGTAACACTTCGGGGGGCGGAGCTTGTAATTATTTTATTCGCTTTTAACCGACTATAGCTCCACCGAACAGGACGAGCTACTGTGAATGGCCGCATCTTACTGAAGAGAAACCGAAAGGTCATCGTACGTTTGTATGAGTGAAGCCGGGTGAAACATGCCTTAACGCCAAGTGCAATTGACGAGATATACCAGCGCGACACTTAGCTCAAATGAGACGAAGGTGGCTGGACGTCTTTCTGCGGTGACTCGCTTAGGGGCACAGTCGGGGGGTCTGGAGGCATCCTGTGTCTACACTTTTCATCCGTTATTACTATTTTCCTTTTATATTATTATTATTATTGTTTTACATGGTTCGATCATCCACTGTTCGGCGAGGCTGGTTATGTATTATTGGTGTGATGTTGCCAATAAACACCTTTCTGAACGGTTTTGTTAAAGAAAAAAATGTGTCCGAGGCTCATTCTTTCTTGGCAGTTGTTCTGTTGTTGTAACACAAAACTGCCAATGAACCATGTCGTGTTGCGATGATTAAATTGATAGTCTAGTCTAAAGAAACGCATCTAGCAGATTCATGACTCTGTAAACGATAAAAACATAAGGTTGTTCATCCCTGTCTCGACAGCACTCTCTGCAACGAGACATAAGATTTCCGGAAAAGGCGACTAAATGAGGTACACAATATCAGATGGGTGTTTTACTTACAGCGTAACATGGCTACCTATATTATCGTCACATGAAAAACGGTTGCGAAAAAGTGAGAATGTCCGCTACAAGAACGCATGCTTCACTGAAATTTCTCGCGGAGGAAACACCTAATAATAAAGCCTCTAAAACACTGCAACGTTCGTGCAACTTCATCAGGAGGCAGTTTTTTTTTTTCGTTCCCATATACGGACGTGACCTACAGTCTGTCTTGACGTTTCTTAGATGTAGTCAAAGCTGGAACACTGTGTGTCTTTTTAAAAAACGCTCCAAAGTTATGACGCATAGAATGGTGGGGATCTTTCAGTGTGACAGTGACGCCAACGTAAGTACGTTGTTTATCGGTACAGCAACGATGTTTATACCTAATCGGGTCGTAATAGTGTACAGAAACTGATCACTTGAAGAAATATAAGGAAGGAAGATTGCTTGTTGTATCCAGAAATTAAGCAACGTGGAATAGGTAGGCTTGCTTTAGGAGCTCGCGGGAATACACCAAATCAGGGAGTACAAGGTGATATGGGATGGACATCATTTGAGGGCAGGGAAGCTAGCAGCAAGATAAAACTTGAGAAGAGATTGAGAGAAATGGGGGAGGAGCGTTGGGCTAGGAAGGTTTTCAGATATTGATAGATACGTAGATAGATAGAGACAGACAGACAGACAGACAGACAGACAGACAGACAGACAGACAGACAGACAGACAGACAGACAGACAGACAGACAGACAGCAGACAGACAGACAGACAGACAGACAGACAGACAGACAGACAGACAGACAGACAGACAGACAGATAGATAGATAGATAGATAGATAGATAGATAGATAGATAGATAGATAGATAGATAGATAGATAGATAGATAGATAGATAGATAGATAGATAGATAGATAGATAGATAGATAGATAGATAGATAGATAGATAGATAGATAGATAGATAGATAGATAGATAGATAGATAGATAGATAGATAGATAGATAGATAGATAGATAGATAGATAGATAGATAGATAGATAGATAGATAGATAGATAGATAGATAGATAGATAGATAGATAGATAGATAGATAGATAGAAGAATCTACAGGGGATCAACTGCTACCATAGTGAATCATAAAGAAAGCAACAGAATACCAATTAAGAAGGGTGTAAGGCAGGGGGATACAATCTCCCCCGATGCTATCTTACAGGAAGTTTTCAGAGGCCTAGAACTGTTAAGTACCGAAAGAGTAGCAGTGAAATGATTATATATGTGGCATGTAGGTTATGGTTATGTAGGCCATCGCAGTTTTTGTGAGAACTCTAGTCCTTAATTAGGCATTTCATATTTTTCTGATTCGATCTTGTTTTCCAGGTGTGCAGATTGTTCGTAAATAAACGTCTGGTATTGTTTTACGTGTTCTGTTAGAGACCAGTCTAATTGATTCACAGTGATCACGTGGTAAACATAAAGAATCGTTTACATCGATCAGTAGTCACTGGCCAAGTCTGCGATGCTAACACTACCTGTGGCAGCACCATCATCACCACAACCAATAAACTATTTTTAAAACTACGTGCGTTTTACTGTACGCGACAGTGACCCTTGATGGTTTATCTCTGCTACGCCTTCGAACAATGCATGACGCTGTGCTACGACCATAGAGTTTCCTAATATACACTAGAGGGAACTCTGGCGCTAGTGTCTAAGGGAGCTGCAACGCACGGCGCTTCAGTGAGCATGGGAATGATGGGTAGTACACACATTTGTCTAAACTTCGTACTTCTGGCCTGCTTTTGGCTCCGTGTGTGTTCGTGTGGCTTGAAGCCGTTTTCTAACGAAACAAAAATCGGCAAATGTTCAGCGATTGCGCTTCACCACCTTATATTTTTTCGAATTACCTTTCCAAATTGGGTCACGAAGTTCAAAAGGGTGGAATATTTTTTTTTTCAAAACAAAATCGAAACACAGCAATAAACGAAGCCGCAAGTATGATTCGCCGCCCGCAAGTACGAAGACTAGGCAAATGTGTGTACTACTCATCATTCCCATGGTCGCTGAACGATCGCAGCGCCAGAGTGCCCTCTAGTTAATTTTGAGAAACTCTATGGCTACGACAATACAGCACTGCATGAGCGTGTGCCAAGAACTGGAAGTCCAGGCGCAATTCACGATACCAGTTGCTGAAATAGCGAGCCCAGCAAGTACATACGTAGCTTGGCTTGGTTCTCTCCCGCCGATTCTCCTCTACGAACTTTACACGTGCTAAGTCGAGGCGTGGCGAAGACAACTGCTGCCCACCAGAAACAGCCGTTTCGTATTACTGCTCCTTATTGCGGTAGATATCGAGCCTTAAATGCCCCATTATACGTGATAGTTTACGGGCGTCCCTCGTCCGCGGTGTCAACAGGGGCGATGCGAAAAATTATTCCGCGAAGGTATCAACACATGACGTCATCACAAAGTCATGCAAGGCGACATCACACGTTGACATCATCCCCATGACATCATTGCTTGGTCAATGTTGGGCCGACCCAATGCCACCTAGAAGGTTATCAGGCCTGCTCACCGCCGCCGTGACGTCACTCGTTTTTCCAGAGCGAGCACGTGTACGGGAATCTGTGAATCCATTGCCACCATCGTCTCCCAGTAAAAGATAAAGCCTTCGCGGCAAGGTTTACACGCTTAACAGCTTTATTCTGCTTTTTGGCTCAAAAAGGGCACTCGTTTAGGTGAATTATTGCGCTTCACAGCTTCTAGAAATTTACGTGTGAGTTATTTCTTCCACGAAAAGGGCACTGATTGTACGCTATCGAACGTGTAGTCGATCGATAAGAGCGAAATTTGATGGACCAACAAAGTGACGAAATAAGTATTGTGAATTTTATTGATTCTTTATTTACCAAACAAACACTATGTAGAGCATGCAGAGAAACTGTTCCTACTCATTTGGAAAGTTCTGCAGTTGTATTTGTACTCTTTCGAACATCTGTCTTCATAGAACCGTAGTTATTGAGGAGAACGTGTGCTGCTACAACAAGAATGTTATTCAGCACATTATCAGGGTCATGACAATTGTAAGAGAAAAAAAAATATTTCGTTTCACAAAAAAAAATCTTCTGATTGACACAAGAAGTGGTGTTTCCTCTTTTGCTCTGGGCCCTATCGCAGTGCATGGTACGTAGTTGGTCATATAACTGAGGTCCTGGGAAAAATGTTAGTACTGGGTCTATAATAAACCGCGTAGCTCCCGTGGGCGCTTCTATACTTCAATGCCGGTTCCTTTAGCGGTATATTTTCGGCAGTGGTCCTTAAATATTTTGGCTCGAAGTAGAAATTACAACTGAAAACCAAGTAAGAAAGCGCTTTACCATAAATGTAGACACGCGTCAAAATTTCAAGGAAACATAACATGCTAAGGTGCTTGCCACAATAATACTGCGATAAAGTGGTATGAATACCAGAAAGAAAATACTATGCACAAAACCGATGCATTAAGTCATTCCTTCCATTTTTATCAACCAAGTGAAGAGAAGTAACACAAGTCCGTTGAGCTAATCACCAATATCTAACTGTTTACCGACCCTGAAGGAGAAATGCTTGTTCTGATCAAGTACTGCCACGCGCGTTTATTAATTTAATGCGAGGTCTTACGCCAACAATTCAGAAGCACACATGACACCTTTATTCTAGAGCAAGAACGGAACATGGTGGAGATGGGGCCATTGAAACCAATTAGTAATAGGTGTTTATATGTGGGGTTTAACGTCCCGAAACCACCACATGATTATGAGAGACGCCATAGTGAAGTGCTTCGGAAATTTTGACCACCTGGGGTTCTTTAACGTGCACCCAAATCTGAGCACACGGGCCTACAACATTTCCGACTCCATCGGAAATGCAGCCGCCGCAGCAGGGATTCGATCCCGCGACCCGCGGGTCAGCAGCCGAGTACCTTAGCCACTAGATCACCACAGTGGGGTAGTAACCGGTGTTAAGAACACACGTACGTTCAGGTTACAAAGAAAACCAATGTCGACGTCAGCTTGACGAACGACACATTCTCATTTCGTTCTTTGGTTCTCCTTAGGAAACGAGAATGCTCGCAACTTCGGTCCCTTTGCCGCGATGATTGGCACGCAGCATCGCCCAACCGTTTGGCTTCACATCCGCACAAATTAATAATATCCAGTGCACAAAACACATCACATATTCACGCAGCAGGTTACGTAATACGGACACGGAAAAAGACGGTCTTCTCGAGTCGCCAACAAGCACACCAGCACGCCACAAAAACGTTCGTCGGGCATGCCAATCCACGTCTGTCGAGCAATGAGAGCAAGCGTAGGCACGCCTGTGCAGCAAAAGACGCCAGTCACAACGGAGTGACGTTAGAGGCCGAGGCAGACACAATGAGAGACAGGCCTGAAGTTATCTAGATAACACTGGCCGACCTCGGAGGCAGTGCTAAACAAGGTGAGGTGCAGCAAGCTTAGTACCGGCTCAGGAAAAAATTAGCGGTCCTGGATTCTGCTTTATTAACTCTGTGCCGGAGACATTCCAAAATTATGTTTGTTGCAAAAAGCTTTCGCAGGAGGGTGCGGGAGAAAGAGATGCGGAGATACAACTTTATTTATCCCATCTTATGGGAAACGCGTTGCGAGAAGGTGAGAGATCCTACTCGCGGTAGATTTCCTCTACCACCTCAACCCACCTCAAGATAGATTCCTGAAGGTCGTGGTTGTAGCTGCGCATGGCAGCCTC